TGCCTTTAAATGTTTATCAAGATTCGTCAAGAATAATGTTTTTGTTTGTAGGTTCTCAATAGGTGGCAATGATCTTGTATAAATTGTAAAGTTTAATAGGTGACGAATAGTAACCATCGTCAAGTTGGCCTGTTTTTATATGTTTGAGTATTTTTATTATTATTATTATTATTATTTACGACGGTGAAATTACAACAAGATTCGAGCAAAAGTAAACATGACAAAAATAAATTACACCAGAAAAATGAGTTATTAAGTGGTTAATTCAGAAAAAAAAAAAAAAAGACTAGTGATTGCTAAGACGTGGAAAAAAAATTGCCTAATAAATTAATATGACAGTAAATAATACATTAATTAATATTTTAGTCTAAATCTATAAACTAAAACGAGTCATATATAATTTAAAATGCACTGCTGCAGTTCGACCGGGCATGCCGCATGTGCGTGCAATTGCTTAAAGAGCATGGAGTTCAATAAGTTGATTCAAGACACAATACATACATATAACATCAGAGATTAGTGGTAGAGGATAACAATCACCATCATGTGGACTTGTTTTTATAGTCAGCAATAGGTGACGAATAGTTTGGGAAAATGATAAAGCAATTAATTGGAAATTAAAATCATGATCAGACTGAAGAAACAAAAACCCAGCTTATATAAATTACTATAGGGTAAAGGAGTTGGTGTTAAATATTAGAGATATTTTTATCTTTTTTGCATGCATGGTTGACTATATATGCATATATAAACAATCACATACATAATCATTGTTTTAGCATATATATTATATGTATATACTATATGCATACATAAATCATTGGCTAAGATTAACCCATGAAATTTTACGGTGTAACAAAGACCAAAAAAAAAAAAATTAGTGGAGGGGATGGTAAAGATTAGATTATCACAGTCCGATTATTGTGCATATATAGACTTATTTCTTTCATGTATATATAAGTTGGCTAGCTAGTGTTCTGCTGCCAATAGAACACGTTACATATTATAGCTTGTCCATGCCTTATTTTAACGATCAACCATGTAAATAGCTCGAACAAATTAACAAATACACAACAAAATTAATTATATGGATTAGAATTCAGAGTTTTCTCACAAGCCATTACTAACTTAATTACCTGTTTGGACATGATATATATAGAACATGGTTGTTATATCCTCAAGGCTCAAGCTGTCAAGCATATGTATAAAACTTAATTCATATTTAATTCACGGCTCTTTGCTATGCCACGTATCATTTTGACATCATGATTTCCCAAGAATGGCAAAGCTAAATAAACCAAAATCAGCGCTCACTCCCAAATGATGTGTTGCCTTTCTTGGCATAAAACAAGTGGATGACAAGTGTGTGTGTTTTTTTTTTTTTTTTTTTTTAGCGAAAGTGGGTGACACATGTTTTTCGTTTTTTCTTATTCTGTTTGTATTTCGATCGACCTATTCAAGAGCTTCTAATCTATGGTTTTTTTTTTTTTTTGTTGCTAATTTTTAGAAATTTCCTTTTCTTTCCTAGTAAGTTATCGTGTCAACGTTAATGTTCACATTACAGTACAAAAATCAAGCTTTAATACAATGATATAATATATTTTAACATTATTTTGATTCTTATTGGTTGATGTATCGATTTTTTATTTAATCATTATACAGTTATCATAATTGAATTATTTTAAGATTAAAAGTTTACTTTTATAAATTTCAAACCCAAATAATAAAATATAAATTTGACATGACATACATATTGGAGTATAAGATAAATATTAATGCATGATGTTAATATTAATGCTAATTTTTAACACTAGATATGCAACTATTTTCTATGCAAATGTTAGTATTAATGTTATATTAAGCATTAAAAAACATGAAAGAGACATATTTATTGTGCTATTATATTATGTGCTTTTTAATGCATGATGCTATTCTAAATTTTACATTTGATTCATGTACTATTTACTAAGTTTTGAAACTTGTAAAATGAAACTGTTATTCTTCAAAATGGCATGTTATAAGCTAAATGAAAAATTAAATATATCAATACATAAAAATTAAATAATAAAATTTGACACATGTTATATTTTTTGTTAAATTTGACAAAGTATTCTATTACAAAGTATTTTTCACACTCAAATATTAAAATTTAGTATTGAAAAAAAAAAGAAATTTAATCCCTTAAAAAAAAATTAACGCTTCATTGGACATGTTCAAATGTTTGACAATTCATTAGACATGTTCAAATGTTTGAAAATTGTATTTGGATTTGAGATGGTGTAGTATGCCTATTGCCAGTTAGGAAGCCTGAATTTTAGGGCGGATGACAGAGAAAATGAATTAGGATACGTGGCAAAATGCTATTCGTTAGAAAGTTTTCCGTGGCCCACGCCCACGTGAGATCCCGATGCCAGAAAACGGAAACGTCTGTCATTGATGTATGGACGCAAGAAAAGCCACGAAGTGTCCAATGGCGTCCCTCTGCAGCGAACACGGCCCCACCAAATGCCGCATACGTGGAAGCATATGATACGTCTGTCAGATTGGGTTTCCCTCACGAGCATGTTATTCTATCCGCCACTTCCGTCAGATGAAGACGGATTAATGAAACGGACTAGTGCGGTTATTGGCAGAGAAAATTAGAGAGAGAAGGAGAGAGAGAAAAAATAAATAAATAAAAAAGAGAGGTTACGTCAGAAGTGCATGGACGCGTAGCAGCGAGCTGTGAATCCCGCCGCTTCACTCCACGAATCCGGACAAACCCATTATGTGAAATCCACTAGAAATTAATATTCACTTTCTTTGATTTTCTCTCTCTGCGTGGAGAAATGTAGAAATTTAGAGAGAGAGAGAGAGATGAAAGAAAGAAAGTGTTCGTATTTATTTGGCTCGTCTTATGTGTTGCGTGCAGAGTCCAGTTCCTTTGGTTCTTCTTTTTTTCTTCGTTTCTCTGTCCAAATTGAAAAGGGATTAATTAGCTTACAACATTGAACATGCCATTCTCATGTGCCTTGATGAGTATGCTATCTTGTTGTTTTCTTTTATCCATTTTTTTGTAGTATTCACCACCACACAGAAACCTATAGATGTTATCCTTCCAAATCAATTTTGGTTGATCCTTCTACATTAATGATGGTTGTTTTCTTATTGTGTTGGGTAATCTTGAGTAATTGGTTGAAGTGAAATCTCCATATTTACATGGCTACACCAGAAAGAGATTCTACAAAATCTAGGTTAAAAAGTTGAAACCTTAATTAATTCAGAAGCTTGGAGATAAATCTAGTAAGATATCAATTTTAAAAAAGATAAATTTAGTGCTTGAATATTTATTGTATTCTGTTTTCTTAATTTTCATGTGTCTATTAGTGTTTATATATGTACACCAAAGTTCATGGAATGGATCAATCTAAAAACAAAAATCTGGTTAAACATTATTGACTTCCTGTACAAGTATGTCGTAATTAGTATTTACATTAAAGTCAATGCATGGACATGCAAAGTTGAAGCTATAATAAGTGATCAATTCAGAAGCTTCGACATAAATCTAGTAGGACATCAAAATAAAAAAGATTAAATGTACATGAATATTTCTTGTACTGGGTTTTCTCAATTTTATTTTTATAATGTTAATATTTTGTACATCAAACTAATTCATGGATGGATCAATTTAAAAACAAAAATCTTATATTTTAATGTCCTGTACAAATATGAATCTTAATTAGTATTTATATCAAAATCAATGCATGGACATGCAAAGGTAATTGTTCTTACAATGGGTAAACAACCTAATAATAAAAATCATAGCAAAAAAACTAATAATAAAAAACCAGATTGTATGAAAACAGTTTTTGCTACTGATTGTGTGAAAACACTTCAATTGGTTTAAGTTGTACATATCTTATTATAAAAGAATTTTAATAATTGGATTCTTTTTCTACAATGCTTGAAAGTAAATTACTTTCAAATTTCAACTCTTGGTTACTCAGATGGAGGTGCGACACAGCATATTTGTTTTAGTTCATAAAGGCTGAGGCACCGCTGTTAGTAACCATTCAAGTGGGAACGTATGGCAGGTGGCACAAAATCCGGAGCAAAGGCTGAGAAAGTAGCGGCACGAGGTTTTGTTTTCTTCTTTCCTTTATTATAATATACTCAATTACTCTCTCTCTCTCTCTCTCTCTCTCTCTCTCTTAAACTGTCTCTTTATCTCTCTATAACCACACGTTCTCTCTCCGGTTTATGAACGTGTAGTGCATGAAATTCTCACAAGGAAAACGAAAAAAAAAATTCAAATTATCTCCAAAGAGAGGCCAAATAAAAATGGAGTGGAACTTCCCAGAATTACAAACCGGAATTCACATGGGGGTGTGAGTTTTCAGGAAAAAACTGAAACATATATATATGTATATACTAGACACCCTCATAAGAAACATCGTCTACCTAGCTTGGCTTGCCGGATAATAATTGTGTGTATATATAATATCTGATCTTCGGATGCCTACTAATCTTCTGGATAAGGAATAGTTAATTTTGGGTACTCTTTCTATTCTATTGATTTTGTGTTAATGTGAAGAAAGTGCTTGATCAGTTTCCCAGATTAGGGCACAATATTTATTTAGTAGTACTAAAAATGTTGTTGGTTTAACGGAGATAAGAAGTCGCTGTCTTTGATGATGGGCGAATAAGATAATATATAATTTGTTTATGTTATCTTTGGTGTTGGTAATAGATAACCCAGATGCTTTATGTTGCTTCTCTGTTGAGGATTTGATAGCAAAAGCGGGCCCTTCCCCTTCTTTGCTTCCTTAATCAGATACAGCCCTTTCACTTGCCCTTATCCGTACACAAAAAACCCTATCCATCTATATCAATATCCATCTCTTTATCTTCACTATCCTCTCTCCAAAATCTATCAGGCACCAACAGAGAACCCACCCAAAAGAGAGTTTTTTTCTTTCTCTCTGCCAAATTCAACGGATCATCAGCTCGTGAAAGGCGTTATGGAAACAGAAGGGCAAGATCTACATGCAGGAGATGTTATTATTACAAAAAAAGAGAACCCAAGTACTGGGTTTGGTACATCCATGGAAGAGGAAGTAGAAGAAGCCCAACTTGAAGTAGTTGACGGGAGAGAGATCTGGCTTGAGAACGACCATGACCAAGATCGCCAAGATCTGCTCGATGTGAACGAGGCGTCAATATTCTACAGTGAGTTCCCTCCTCTTCCTGATTTTCCATGCATGTCATCATCTTCTTCGTCATCATCAACCCCAGTCCCCGTCAAAGCCGTGACGTGCTCGTCCTCGTCGTCTTCCGCTTCTTCGTCTTCCTCCGCTGCTTCTTGGGCCGTTCTGAAATCTGAGGCGGAGGAAGACGAAGAGAAGAAGCACCACTATCATCACCACCATCACAACAATAACCGCCATGAACCGGTCGGTGCAACGACACCGGCTGCTTTGTCGTCCACGGCGTCGATGGAGTTCTCGGAGCAGCAAGAACCGAACATCGATTGCATGGACATGATGGAGACTTTTGGGTACATGGATCTGCTCGAAACCGACGAGTTCTTAGACCCATCTTCCATTTTTCAAAACGATCGGAGCGCTATAGAGGATTTCCAACAAGAGATGATTATGAACAGCCATGATGATCAGAAGGAACATGCAGAGATGGGAAATAATAATGTTAATGTTAGTACTACTACTTCACAGGAAGAGATCATGAGCGAGCACGAGTTGATGATGGCGCAGGGGAAAAACGATAACAACTACGAGGAGGATCGGAAGGAGCCGGCAGTTTCAGACGACATGGCGACGGTGTTCTTGGAATGGCTGAGGTCGAACAGAGAAACTGTTTCGGCGGAGGACTTGAGAAGCGTGAAGATCAAGAAGGCGACGATAGAGTGCGCGGCGAGGCGTTTGGGAGGAGGGGAAGAGGCCATGAAACAGCTCTTGAAACTCGTGCTCGAATGGGTCCAGATGAATCACCTCCAGAAAAGGCGAATCAGAGATCAGTCGCCATCGATATCGCCGTTTCAAGACTTCCCTTTTCAAAACGCTCCTACTGCAAACCCTAACCCTAACCCGGACCCTAACATCAATCATGAGCCTTCAAACCCTTGTTTCGGTCAGTCAACGCCGTGGATGCCTCAGCCGCCTCCGGCCTACGAACCCGTCGTAGTCCCTCAGCAGCCGCCTCCGCCTGCGGCGGCGTACCCTTCTCCGATGGTCGGGTTTATGGGTGACCCGTTTGCTAACGGGTCGGCTTACCCAACAGTACCGCCGCCGACTGATAATTACAACATGCTTGACTCTGCTCAAACATGGCATTCTCAGTTCGGTTTGGCGTCTCCTTACGCCCCATTTCATGATAATAACAACAATCTCCAGCCCACACTAGCTTCCCAGCATGCACAAGCCTTTGCTGGCTATGGAAGTTCTCACTCTCAGTACCCTTATAATCAGTATTATCAGGAGGGTAATAATTCGGGTCACGGTGACAGGCTGGTGAGGTTGGGCTCTTCGGCGACGAAAGAGGCGAGGAAGAAGAGAATGGCGAGGCAGAGGAGGCTCTTGACCCACCACAGACACCATCACCATACTCATCACCAAAATCAGGGTGTAGATCATCATGCGAGGCTTGCGGTTGCAGAAATTTGCACCACCCAAGCACAGCAAGCGAATCTTGGGAACTGGGTTTACTGGCCCCCGGCCGTTCCTTGTCCTACGCCACCATTGATTCCGGGGATCCCGGCAGAGGCGCCGCCGTTGCATGCAGTTGATCACCAATCGGCGCCTGCAGCGCAGCAGAATTATCAGGGACGAATCTCGTCGGAGAGGCGTCAGGTCTGTGTCTTGATTAAATAAGTAAAACGTTTTTTCAATTGATCTTGATTATATGATCAAATAACAATGCGAATAATTAAATGATTATACAGGGTTGGAAGCCTGAGAAGAACCTGAGGTTTCTTTTGCAGAAAGTGTTGAAGCAAAGCGACGTGGGGAGTCTGGGTAGAATTGTGTTGCCAAAAGTAATTTCTTTTTCCCTTTGCTAACTACGAAACTGTTTCATTAACTTGAATTTTCAGTTACGGTTCTATTGAAAACGGAAGTCAAATGCGCGCGCGTGTGTTTTTTTTTTCTTTGTTTTTTTTCCCATAATTTTTATTTGCTTTCATTAAATGTATCAGAAAGAAGCAGAAATCCATCTTCCTGAACTGGAGGCAAGAGATGGCATTTCCATTCCTATGGAAGATATCGGAACTTCGCATGTATGGAACATGCGCTATAGGTATTCTACAGTTTTGCATGCCTAATTAATGCTACTTGATTTTGTATAATCTCTTCATTTTATTATATTTACTGTCTTAGTGGAAATAATTGTGTATTTTCCTTTTCGCCTTCTATTTTGATGGAGTTTCAGGTACTGGCCAAACAACAAAAGTAGGATGTATCTCCTAGAAAACACAGGTGGGTTTGTTGATTAAAAGTTGCCCTTATAAAGCTTTCAACTACTTTTCTTTTTCTCTTTTTCTTTTTCATAGATTTTTGACAGCCTTTTAATTTTGACTTGTGTTTTCCTTTAATTAGGAGATTTTGTGAGAGCGAATGGACTCCAAGAAGGGGATTTCATAGTCATTTACTCCGACATCAAATGTGGCAAATATGTGCGTACCTTAAATCCAATTAGCTATTCCTGATATAATCTTCTCTCTCGTCCCACGCTTCAAAGTAGTTTGAACTTGCATAAGAGATAATTTATTCTGAAGTTTATATATTTCCCTTTTCTTTTTTCCCCTGATAATAATAAATTGATTGAAATAATAATCAATAACGTGATATTGGTCTTGACTCTCACAGATGATACGAGGAGTGAAAGTACGGCAACAAGGGTCTAAGTCAGAGAACAAAAGGCCTGGAAAGTCACAGAGAAACCAGCACATAAGCAGTCCAGCTGGGGCTAAGAATGGCTCGTCATCTTCACCCACCACACACAAGAAACAATAAAAGTTTGAAAAGCATCAAAGATGACGACCAAACGCCCCCTAACCACTTGCCACCTCCCTCTTTCTCTCTCCTCCATGCAAGAAGACGCATGGACAAGTGGACGGTCAGGATCTTCTCTCTTGGTTCGCTGGATTCTTTCAATATATATGTTTTGGTTTCTGAGTGGAAAGAAAATTACTTTGAAATAAACTTTAAAACTACTACCACGTATTGGCTAATATTTCAGGATGATGAAGAGGCTGCACAGGAAAGAAATGATATTGTGCCTTTGAAAGTGGTTTATAATGTCTGGCTTTGGCAGTAGATAGAGAAATGGTTTTGAAGAATAATTAACCTGTAGATTTTGAGTGCTGTATGTTTATAATGGGGTGTATTATTTTGTCTAGAATGGATCGACGTCCCTTTTGTTTGTACTTCTAAACTTTGGATATATGTACATGAGAATTGATGTTTAAATATGTTTGTTCGTTTAAATAGCTCTTGAGGAGAATATTGTGTTTCCAACACATTTGTTGGTTGATTGTATCTTGAAACTTTAGCTGATATAGTGCCTGCTGTCTATATAGCAATTAGCAATTATAGTTCTGCAGCCATTCGATGGCATGCATATTTAAGTGATGTCAATATTTCTGGCACTACAAATTCATTTTAATTAGATTTTTTTTAACAAATTGCGAAAACTGATATCATAGATTAGAACACGGAAATTTTTGAAATTTATATTTTATTTTAGAAAAAATTACAAGAATAACATTTTTCATCATCTTATTATTTTTGTCATTTTTGGTAAAATATGAAAAGCATGTTAACAGAACATTAATGAAATACTAATTAATGACGATAAATGATAAATTTAAAATTGATAGCACAAATAAAATAGTGTTATTTTATGACATTTTTTTTATAAAAAAAAATCATTTTATTTCATGCTATTCACATGCTATATCTAGTTGTAGTTAATGTAGTTTTGAAATTTATTAAAGTTGACTTTTTTAATTAGTGTTAAATTTAATATTATATTAAAGAACAATTTCTCTTTGACATTTAACATCTTTGATTAGCATTGCATTGAAAATATTCTTAGAAAATGTTCTTTTTTTTCAATTATTCTTAGATCATGCAATTTATATAGGATTTAAATAACAAATTTTCGTTCAACAAGAGGGTTATTTTCATCCCTATATGACACTAAAAGTTTCCCATTTTTACATAGTCGCACCTCGAGTCTAAAATGTTCAATATTATACCTAATTCTTGTTTTCAAAATATCATAATCATAGTTTAAATGTAGATGACAAACTCATAAAATAAAAAAATAATTATTTATGGACCATTCATGACTCTAAGCCCTAAGGCCCGTTTAGTTTATTGATTTTAGTTTTTAATTCGAATTGATATGTGACTTTAGGTAAAAACTTTTTACTGTAGCAAAAAAATTAGATGTAACTATTTCTGAGGGTTTTTTACTGTAACAAAATTTGAATTTTAAACTCAAATTGGTGAAATGAACGAGGTCTAATTTAATGTTTTTATTTAAAATTCAATGGAAGAGCCATTCATGGGATTTTTTTTTCACTTCAGATACTATTTATGAGACAAAATTAACTACACGGGAGACTAATTCTAAAGAGAATTAGTCATAAATTTATTCCAAAAGAACCTGAAAATTAATTTTTCATACGTAATTACTTATCGCATATTTTACATAATAACATTCATATATTATTAATTATCACGTAATAAAAGAATTAGGATATGTACAACATAAATGAAAATTACGAGACGCGACCGTGAACCTTCTCGGAACAAAGCCATCGCGACAAGAACCATTTAAAGCATATTGGTTCAGTCAAAAGTATTATAAATTGTTGACTTTAATCTTGTATTTGTGTGGAGGATTTTTCCCCTTCTTTTGAACCATTGTTTTACTCAGAAGTAGACCATTGGTTTACTTTAATTCGTATTGGCATAGAAATATCTTTTTTTCCCCTGTCGTAAAGTCTGAACCACTGATTTACTCAAAACAGACCAATGGTTATTAGTTATGTGTTTTTTAGGAGATATTTCATTCTCTCTTCTTTTTTTATTATTAATTAATCCGTTGGATTAAGTAAACCACTAGTTTACAAACTGAAATGAAGGGTGACGTAGAGTACTTATAATTGATGGAAGTGGTATTTGTCGAAAGAAAAAGCAAAGACACCAGTAAAAGCAATATTAATGTAGCCTGATTATACTTCGTGTGGACCTGTGTCATGTGTCATGTGTCCGAAATCTTGTGCATGCGCCGTAAGAAATGGTGTAAACCACAGTGTTATTACCAACATTCGCAAAATATCAGCCCAACAAATTTCCGCAATTCACTTCTGGTTAGCCAATTGATTTTCGTCCAGTTTTTCCAAAAAAAAAAAAAAAAAAAACACTAATATGTTTTTATTTTGTATCCAAGCGTCAAGCAATGATTTTACAATGACAACATTGATCAAACTTGACATTAATTTTGCTACTTTCTGATTATTGAACTTAATGAAAAGAGTCAGGTGAAGTACAACTTATATATGTAGAAACAAACTTCTCTCCAAAGAAATACTAAACTCAAAAAACCAAAAACAACATTTATCCTTTTGTAAGTCTTTAATTAATCACTTGGCACTAGAAGAAGAAGAGTACAACAAATTAGAGGAAACAGAAAAGCTAGTAGTGTTGTTACTTTGCGGATACGATGAAGAGCCACTAAAATTTTTACTCTCTCGTTTGCACTGATCACGATGATCATCAGATTTAGAACACCCGTTAGTCAAAAACCTCTGATGATCAACTTTCATGCACTGATCTTCTCTATCCTGCCTTATCTCCTTGAGCATTGCGGCGACATCTTTCATGGTTGGCCTGTCGTCCGGAGAAGGGTTTACGCAGAGCAAAGCCACGCCCAAAGTCTGAATCATTTCTTCTATCTCCGACTCTGGACGGCCTCGTAAGCTTGGATCGAGGACTTCGACGTTGAACGTCCCCAATCTTCTCTGCCTTATTACCCAATCCACTATATGGAGCCCTTCTGGGATCGTCGGATCGATCGGTTGTTTTCCTGTTAGTACTTCTAAAACGACTACTCCGTAACTGTAGACATCGCTCTTCTCTGTTATCTTCATCATGTACCCGTATTCTGCATTTCACAACCCATCAAAAACAGAAAGATGGGAGTTTCAACTATTTTATATGAATGAAGATTAAGATCAAATTTTATTATATCATTTAAAAAAAAAAAACTAAAAAACATTAAAGCATGTAAAGATTGGTCACAAAAACATTTCAAAAAAAAAAAAAAAAAAAAAAAAACTAGAAACTAGGCATGTTTACTTTCACTGGGCTAGAAACTAGGCATTCATTTTTTTTTTTTCCTTTCTAAAAAGAAGAAACTAGGCCTTCATTTGATTTTGTGAGTTTTACTTGGGACTTGGGAGATCGAAACATTCAGGCACGGCCATTTGGTTCAATAGTCAGATTGAGTTTTATGGATTTCAATTCGATTAAGACACATTTCTCAGTAGAATTTAGTTAAATTTCTTAAAGGCCGTTAAACTTAAACGAGTTCAAAAGTGTAGCTTTTTTTATTATCCTTTTTAATTAATCTTTTCATCTTCTAACATCATAATCATATTATATTTTTAAAATATGACATACAATTTTTAAAAAATTTGACCATTCAAAATTTATCTACCAATATTTTTTTCCCTTAAGAATTCACCTATTTTAAATTAGAGAAAAAAGCTCAAATACTTTTATCAAACACATCAAAATTTTAAAGTTCAGATACAATCCCATATTCCAATTTTACTTTTTTTCACTTTATATAACCAATGAATTTGTAAAGAGTAGTACAAACCTGGTGCAATGTAGCCATAGGAACCAGCGACAATGTTGGAAGACCTTGCGAAATCACCATCATGAACAAGCTTGGCGAGCCCAAAGTCAGCAATATAAGGCTCAAAGTCAGGGCCAATGAGAATGTTATTGGCCTTGATATCCCTATGAACAATCGGAGGAACACAATCATGGTGGAGATAAGCCAATCCCTGAGCCGAACCCAGAACTATCCTATATCTCAGCTCCCACTCCAAGCAAATACTATTCCCGCCACTTCTCTCATGTAAAAGGCTTCCCAAGCTCCCGTTCGGCACGTAATCATACATTAGCAGCCTCGTTTTCTTGTTCCAACAACACCCCAAGAACCTCACGATGTTCTTGTGCCGAATCGAGCCGAGCGTCTTCACCTCCGCCGAGAACGAATCGCGGTGGCGGCAGTGGTATCCCGGAGATATTGTCGTTGGCCAGAGCTTCTTCACCGCTATTACCTCGCCGTTGTCTAGTTCCGCCTTGTAAACTATCCCCGAACATCCCTTCCCGATCACGTTCGGTTCGGTTAAGCACTTGAGGACTTGTTCCACCGTGAAGTTCACCTTCTGGAATGGGATGAACTGCCAAGGCCAGGACTCGCTACCCATCTCCGAGTCGTTGTCGTCGGTTCGAATCATTTTTCGCGCTCGAAAAACCGCCAAGGCGCCAGAAATGGCTAGCGCAACAGTCAGCGTGATTAGCAGTGATATGGCTAGTTTAAACCTGCGTTGGTTTCTAGAACTGCTGCTGTTTCGAATGCCTATTGTTGTGCCGTTGCTGAGGAAACATAAGTCATGGCCTTTTGAGCATAATCCTTGGTTTCCTTCGAGGTCCGTCGTCGATAACTGTCGGAAAAGTTTGTTGTCCGGGAGATATCCGGTGAAGTTGTTGTAGGATATGTTCAAGGAAACGAGATTTTCTAGGCTAGAGAGGACTAACAACCCACCTTCAAGTTTGTTGTGTGAAAGGTCTAGTACGGACAGCTTGTTGAGAGATGAAACTTGCGGTGGGATTACCCCGGATAGACCGTTGAAGCTCAAATTTAGAGCGATTTCGAGAGCTTCGAGTTGGAAAAGTTCGACGGGGATTGCGCCGGTGAGGTTGTTGCTGCCGAGATCAAGCAATTGGAGGCTTGAACATTGGCCAAGAGAGGATGGGATTGATCCAGAAAAGGAGTTTATGCTCAGAACAAGCCTGTTGAGTGAGGAAAGTCGGCCGAAATTCTCGGGAATCTTTCCTATAAACTGATTGGCAGAGATATCCAAGACTTGGAGCCTAGTGAGAAAAGATAAAGAGCTTGGTAAATTACCTCCAAGGGTGTTGTTGCTCAGGTTAAGAAGCTGAAGTTCAGCGCAGTTGCCGATCTCTGCAGGGACTGATCCGGAAAGACGGTTTTGAGACAGGTCAAGAAAGCTAAGGCTGTTCAGGGACCCGATTTCTCTTGGGATTTCTCCGCTGATTCTGTTGTCTAAAAGCCGGAGTCTAATTAGAGACTTGCACTTACCAATCTCAGGAGGGATGGAACCTGAAATGTGATTCGAAATCAGGAGAAGCTTTGTTAAATTCTGAAGCTCAAAAAGGCCAGGTGGTAAGCTACTAGTAAGCTCATTGTGGGACAAGTCAAGCGCTTGGAGTCTCTTGCAGCCTGCCAATGTTGACGGAATGCTTCCTTCGAGCTTGTTCTGCCAGGCGAAAAACACATTAAGCTGTGTCAAAAGTCCAAGCTCAGCAGGAGTTAGCATCAAGCTGCAGCTGTAAAAGGCTGCTGGCATTGGACAGAAGAGAAGGGATTGAACCAGAGATGTTGTTGTTACTTAGCATAAGCTCTTCGAGATAAGAGAGGTTCCCGAAAGACCGCGGTATGCTTCCCGAGAACGAATTCAATGAAAGGTCTAGAATCTTCAAGTTTCTGCAGTTACCAATTTCCTCAGGAATAGTTCCATCAAAGTTGTTCTGCCACAATAGCATCTTCTCCAGCTTCTGAAGCTTGCCTAACTCTGGTGGTAGAGAGCCGAAAAGATCATTTTCGTAAAGAAACAAGTCGACAAGCTCCGAGCAGTTGCCAATCTCCGGCGGAATCTCACCAGAAAGCATAGTTGTGTACACTGAGAGTGTCTGAAGCATGCTTAGTTTACCCAATGAAGCAGGCAAGGAGCCTGCAATTTTAGTATCAGCAAGCCCCAACACCTTCAAATTCCGGCAATCTCCAATCTTATCTGGTATTTTCCCTTCAATATCCTTGTTTCCGCCTGCGCGAATAACTTCCAACTTCAACAGTTTCCCTATCTCAGCAGGGAGATTTCCACTTAAATAGTTGTCGAAAACGAGAAGATTCTTCAAGTTGGTGCATTCGCCTAGCTCCCTCGGAATCTGCCCGGTAAGCTGGTTAGAGTTCAGAATCAAGTCCTGAAGATTTCTGAGCTTACCAATACTAGAAGGAATATTTCCCACAAGACTGTTTGAACTAACATCAATAACAGTTAGTTCAGTGCAGTACTGGATATCAGATGAGATACTCCCAGTGAGGTTTGCATCAGAAATGACGAGCTTTTCGAGATAAGGAAATGAAGAAAGATTGGAAGGAAAAGGAATAGCCAGCTCAACAGACTGTATATTAATCTCAGTGACAAAGTTTTCAGACGAACAATTGATGTAAGACCAGTTACAAGGATTGGGGTCTGAAGGGTTCCAGTTGGAGAATGACGAAGAGAATGAAGGGGAGGCGTGAAGCCATGAATATAGCGCGGAAACCTCATTGTTTGCACTAACAAAAACAGCAGATAACAAAAGAGAAAGAATGATAAGGAAATGGGAGCAAAAATGGTGGTGAACAGCAAGAAATTGTCCCGGCATTGGCTTGAGATCATGGGTGAACGAGAACCGGCATTGGTATTGGAAATTTTGCCTCAAAACCCCAACCATTTTTCTTTGTTTTGCATTGGGTCTCTCTCTTTTTCTCTGTTTTTTTTTTTTTTTTGTTTTATTATTTTTTTTCTTCTGGATTCTTTTCGTAAACTCTACTGCTTAATTGCTACTGCTATAAGTCTATGTTGCTACTTCAATTCATTATATTGATATGGCTTTCTAGTCAAGCAAGAAAAGGAGAGAAAAGAATAAATTAAAAGATTTGATCCACGCCTCCCCACCTCGGGGTTCTGTTTCCTTAGTTCTATTTTTATTTTGGCGTTTGTTGATTTTGAACGAGTCTTCTTGTTTAGATTACTCATTACCTGATTCACTTGCACCATGTGTGCTTGCATTGTTTTCCTCAATATGGGCTGTTTTTGTTTTTGAGAATTGAGCCATTACTACTAGTACTCTTTTTAGTTAAAATCCAGTCACTTCCCGTTGGATTCTTTTTTCTTATATATACATACATATATATATATATATATATATAGAAGTACACTACAACCTTAAGTAATTTCCGAATCTCAAAGTATTCCGATTGTTATATACAATAAAGCAGCACATTATAAATGAATAAATAAAATAAAATAAAATAAAATCGGCTATAGACTTTCTTTTTGTCTGGTATCATGTTAGTCTTTCCTCTTTAATTAATTTTAGACTGGTTTCCTTTTTTCTCTTAATAATTTCTTGAATTCCTACAGCCATACTTCTGCCTTTAACTTTTTTTCTTTTTGTTTGGGAAAAGGTGGGGTAATTTTCGTATTAAAGAATATAGGTATAGACTTCTTAAAAAAAAAAAAAAAAACTGCATTGGCATCTTCAATTCTAGCTAGTATAAAATACCAAATTTGTTTGTTACTATTCATATGTCTTCCGGTACTTACTCTTTTTTGAGCTTCACAATTATCTATAAAAAAAATGCCTCAATCTGTCTATCTCTTCTCTCTCCCTCTCTCTTTCAAATTTTCTCTCACTAGTCACTAGAACATATGCTTCCCAACCAGGACTTTCATTGGACATTTAGTTTATGAATTCAGAATCATGATTCAAAATTATTCTCATTTTATATGTATTTTTTTAAAAAAAAAACAATGTAAAAAATAATAAATCATGATTTAGAATCAGATACGAATAAAAAAAAAAAAAAAACGTCCTCTCGATTACAAAAACAGGCAGCAATGGCCAAAATTATTATACAAAGCAAAAGGGACTCATTAAACACACGTTTAGCAAGATAAACATATATATCATTCACTATTCAGACAAATTCGTCTCTGAATGCTAGGCACATTATTATTGCAAATACCCTTAAAATGAACGACTTCACATAAGTGCAAGCATATGGTTTCATGTAATCAAAATTAAAAAAATCACGAATGCGTTTATATGATAATGCTTAAACGAGAATGAAAATATCATAGCAAGAGACATGCCTGCCAAGAGCCCAAATTTCTAGGGGCAAAGACTTTGGGAAGCTCCCTGAGGAATCTATACACGTTCCACTTTGACAAAAACTCCCAACCCTCCACAGTCCACAACCCCCACACGATTTGTTTCATTTATTTTTTTTATTTTTTTATTTTTACCAAACAAAAATATGTCTTTGACAAGCGTAACAAGTTTTTACCCTTTATAACATCGTTGTTGAATGCAAATAATTAATATAGATGATACATAGAAATGTGGAGGAATAAAATCCACCGTCACAGAAAATTCAGTAAGCATAAAAAAACGCCAACCGTTAATGATGATGTTCAAAACCAGCTGACATAACAAATAACTAAGGTTATTGAGCGCTACTATGAATATTTATAACTTAATAATTATTTGGAACATTAAACCTCAATGTTAAAATTCAATTCAAAAATTACAGTAGAATTAAACTTGAAATCATGTGTAATGTGTTCACACTACTTTCTGTCTTATTTTGAATGCTAGTCAAACATACGTGTTCTGCCAATCCAATATGGATCAAGCCCTCGGGAAAAAACAAAAACAAAAACAAAAAAAACAAAAAAAGGCCTTACTCAACTTTGGGCCCCCACAAAATCTCCTACCATGGGCCCTTGTAATGTTGTGAACTCGTGATTATCATCTCCACACCACAAAAGCTATTTAGATGGGAGTGAACTGATCGCAGAAAAATCGGAATATTTAGGATGAACTTGGAAAGATCAGTTCTAGAATAGTGGAAATTAGGAAGGGGAACTTGAGTAACCAAATCGTGTTAAAGAAGAAATTGGAAACTTAACTTTTGTATTCAAATTAATCTTAACGTGATCATTCTCCTGGAAGTTAAATCTCATTTTGGGCTTGTTCTTTTAGAGTTTAACTTAAGTATAATTCTTGAGTTGAATTTGAGTTATAATTTGAGTTGAACTTATAACTTGAGTTTGTGTTTAGTTGTGTACATTTGAGTTATGGTTTGAGATAAGAATCTTTCTGAGTTTGTGTTTGAGTGAGTCAAAAATTGAATTTGTATTTAAATAGTATTTTAATAAAAACTCAATACTGATGAAAAATTTTAATAAGGTATATAGGTCGGGTTTTATTCGTCTTTTTGTTGTCAACGCATAGAAAAAAAAATCATCTCAATCAGAATTAAAATGAAAAAGTTATAGCATTTTTAAGAATAGAAAAAATATTATTTATTAATTTGAGTTCGAGTTTCTGCACTCGAGTTGAATGAGAAACTTGAACTCGAGTTTTAATCCTAAACTCGAATTTAAACTTAAAAGAACATGAATTCGAATAAAGTTATAACTCGAGTTGCCTTTTTTTAAGTTTTTCACTCAGAAGAACAAGCACTATAATTTTTTTTTTTTTTTTCCAACAGAGTCCAAACCAACTCGTCATAAAAATTAAGTACATGAAAATATGTATGTGGCAATGTAGTATTTTCTTTTTTTTTATCTGGTTTTACTATAGATTCTCTTATCTAATACCTTCATATTAAGATGGATTAAAATTATAATTTTTTTTTAAGAATTTAAAACCACTCACTCTGTTACTCAATTTATTTCCTAATTTTTCCTTTATACCCAATAATCATCACAGGTTACCTTCCTTCAACTTTTCCCTCTTGCTAAATAAACAAGCCATTAGGGTTAGATTTTAGTCCTGGGCTTCGATCAACTGAAAGCCCAACTGACACAGCCTTACTAAACTTGGGCTAAAACAACTGACACATGTGGGCCCTACTAAACTAAGATTGTGAGGCCGAGAAAGCCGGGAAGCCCCTTTTTTTTCTTCTTTTTTTTTTTTTTTCCTTGCGTTAAAAAAAGATAATCTTAACAAATACGGTCAAATTTGGTTTTTCCAGTTCTTGTCCTAAATTTGGTAACTTTTTTTTTTTCTAAATTCCTCATATATTTTCAGTAAATCAATTGTGAGAAAAACATAAATGGCTGCCTCAGCTTTATTTCACAGCCTATACTCCATAACCACGCACCATTCAAAATACACCGAACTTGAAACCTTGTCTCTCGCCCGCTCTCGGTTGTTCCCTTCCGATTCATTTTTGGGTTTGAAGAAGCAATCTCTGAATTCACAGCTTCGATTTAGGAAGCTCACGACCCAGAAATCTGCTTCCTTCCCCGTAGTATTCGCTGCACAAACTAACTTCTTGAAAGGTTATAAGCTTCTTTTAGTCTTTTCTCTTTTACTTTCTGAAGTGAAACTTACTGTTTATGGTGGCTCATATGGCTTGTTTCTGAATGTTATTTTCTGGGTTTTGTAGAATTTTGTTTTCTCCGAGTTTGATTCTTTTTTTTTTTAATTATTTTGATTAAAGTGTTAAATGTAGGGATATTTTGGTGGGAAAGATGGGGTTTTCAATACCACAATTTAAAATTTAGTGCTAATCAATGATAGAATTTGATTGCTTACAAGCTATAAGTCGTTCTACATGAAGCTTTCAAATTTCTGTTAGCTTTCAGCATCTTATTTAGTCTTTATTATTATTATTATTATTATTATTATTATTATTATATATTTCTGTGGTGCTCTTTCAAGTGGCAAAATGTTTCAGATAAAAACAAAAAAAACAAAAAAAAACAAACAAACAAAAGTAGCAAAATGTTCGGTTTGGTTTATGGTATTGTTAACTAACCATTTCAAATTATGTGAAATAGTTATTCAAACTGCATGGAAGGTTGCAAGGGATGGAATTGAGGCAGGAACCAATTTGGTACCGGTAATTTGGTTTATCGCTTTCTGTCTCCTTTGTGCTGTGTGTGTCTTTGATTGAACTCAATGGGCGATTTGTCTGTTGTTTACATTGTTTGCAGTATAAAGTTTAATAAATTTAGAAACTTTTTTTTTTCTTTTGTTGAAAAAAAAAAGGGTTCTATACCAAGACCGATAGCAAGGATTTCAGTGACTGTAGCAGCATTGGCAGTTTCGCTCTTCGTTCTCAAATCTTTCTTGTCTACGGCTTTCTTTGTGCTGGTATGTTGTCTTAATTCTTTGCTCATAAATGGTCAGTAGAATGATCGCTTCATTTTTGAACTTTGTTGCGGCTTGTCCCCAAATGAAGTGTAGGCTGTTGTTGTATCTCTAAACCGCTTGCAATTTGAGTTTCTTATGTTTTATGTCTTAATATACGGGAAATGAGATTTTTTTTTTTAATTTTTTTTTTGTGAAAGATTAACTATTCTCAATTTATTTATTATTATTATTTTTTTGGCTATGAAGTTCTCAATTTAATTTGGTAAAAGCAAACTCAACACCGAAATAAGAAGTTCTTATATGTAGTAGTTTCACCATTTTGTTAAAAAAGAGGACCACTTTGGCTAAAAATGTTTCTCTTTAGGATGCTTTTATCTGAAGATAATGACCCATCTTAGAACCATTTAGTATTATGGTGGACTTGAAAATCATCACATACTTCTTTAATCTGGCCGGTTATGTGGTTTTGGAAAAGCATTCCTCGTAGTTAATAAAGACAGCAAATCATCTTGGCAAACTACTATACTGTCTTCTTGGTGCCAATATCTTTAAACGTTCCCTCAATTTAGTCAAATGCAAAAATAATTAAAATGGTATCTGTGGGTCTTACCATTTCAGTTGGAAACATGCATATATTTTCTGGTAGAAATGATCACTCTAGATATAGAAGTGTCTTGTATAATCTTTTAGCCTTTAGGAGAGACTATTACATGGCTATTCAAATCTTACCTAACATTTTTTGAGACCATATGATTGCTTCCTTATCCCGGTTTCATGATTCATTTATTTCAATCCGAGACATGGCAGCATCACACTAAGATATGATCGTGCTGAATTTCATAATCACAATACTTCTCTTTAGAATCAATAAGCATTTCACGCTAGAAATCATCTCATAACAAACTTTCGAAACCGGAGCTGGGGTTTTGGCAAAGAGATTCTTATGAGTATTCTTTTTTTTTTTCTTTTCAAAACTGTTGCCTATCTCTTAATGGTAGCAAACATTGTATTTTTAACAGGCCACCATGGGACTTGTATATTTTACATTCATAGCTTTGTATAAAGATGAAGGACCAAGAGGAGGTGGAGACACAAAGTTCACCAAAGACACTCCTACCTCCACTGAAGACGCTCTGGAAGAAGCCAGAAGAATCATGGAAAAGTACAAGTGATCTATTCTTGCCCATCCAATCTCTCTCGGAGAAGAAGGAATGCTCTGGAGACCGATATTTTAATAGTCATAGGTTCCTTTTTTTCAGTTACTGAAATGCCATGTATCGAAACTTTGTTGTATAGTTCTCACATCCTTTAGTTTGGGTTACTTAGAGCCTGCAATCTAGTTGAGCAGGTTACCTGCTTAAAAATCCAAACTAATAATGTAATGATAGCCTTTCCACTAGATGAAGATGAATCAAAATGCTAAAATAATATCTTTATTATTATTATTATTATTATTATTATTTGGGGTCTCGAAATCAGGAAAAGACATGTTTTGTCCCGAAATCATCGACTTGTCGTTTTATGACGTTGCTTGTAGTCAACGTGGTCATTTATCTCTCTCAACTAACGAACGAAGTACTGTAACTGCACTGAATGCAGGCATTCGTAAGCACGTCATGTCGTTTATTCTATCAAATGGCAAGTAACGTGTTGCTTTGGAAACTAAATAAAATGAAATAAAATCATGTCGTTCATAAAGTTTTTGTCGTTTAGTAGTTGGAAAGGCCACGTTCTTCACTAGAAAACGACGTCTGAAAGGTCGATAGGGATGTCGTTTTCTTGCTGAAATGTGTTGTTTAAAGATTCACTTCGTCAACGGAAAAAGTTAACGTCGTATGGAAAATTTCGTGATTTCAATATTCAGAAAGTGCATGTCGTTTGCTTTTCTGAAAAACGACATGCAAAAATACAATAGTCATATCGTGTACTTCCTTCAATGCTCCACTAATCGAGCCTTTTTTTTTCTTCGTTAAATACGACATTTCGTTTATTTTTAAAGAGTAAACGACGTCGTACGTTACTTTGTAAACGGCTTCCTTAGGGAGAGAAAACGTCGTTCACTCTTCTAAACAGACGACATGTCGTTTCTATGCACGTCAGAAAACCAAAGTCTGTTTTTAGTTATCTCCTCGTTGCGACTGATTGGCCGAATCCATTTCAGAGCAGAAAGAGCAAAATTTAATCCTCCACAAACTCAGGAACTGTTCTCAAACCTGTGTCGTCAGTTGTGTGTTTCTCTCTCTATGAAGCATGAACTCCTCCACCATCTCCAACCCCATAACTCCGCCACTTTCTCTCTCTCTCTCTAACCCTCACCCTTCCTCTCTCTTCCCTCTGATCGCATCATGCAAAACCATGAGACACCTCAACCAAGTCCACGCCCACCTCATCAAAACCGAACAAATCCACGACCCCCTCGCCGCCGCCGAGATCCTCCGTTTCTGCGCGCTTTCCGACCGCCGCGATTTGGAGTACGCGTGCAAGGTTTTCACCCAAATGCGGCAACCCAATTGCTTCTCTTGGAACACCATCATCAGAGCTCTCGCCGAGACTGAGCCGCTCGAGGCCCTTTTGCTGTTTCGCCAAATGGTCTCCGTTGGTATTGTGCCGCCCAATCAGTTCACTTTCCCGTCCGTGTTCAAAGCCTGCGCTGGAATGGGGAATGTTGAGATGGGTAAGCAAGTTCATGGCTTGGTTGTTAAGTATGGATTGGATTGTGATGAGTTTATTCTTAGTAATCTTGTTAGGATGTATGTTATGTGTGGGGTTATGGAAGCTGCAAATTTGTTGTTTTATAGGAATTTAAGTAAAATGGCGAGGGATAAAAGAAGGCAAGAGGGAAATGTGGTTTTGTGGAACGTGATGGTTGATGGGTACGTGAGAGTTGGGGATTTTAGAGTTGCTCGGGAGTTGTTTGATAAAATGCCTCAAAAAAGTGTGGTGTCGTGGAACGGTATGATATCTGGGTACGCGCAAAACGGGCTTTTCAGGGAGGGGATAGAGTTGTTCCGGGAAATGCTTTTGGGAGATGTGCGTCCGAATTATGTCACTTTGGTTAGTGTTTTGCCTGCAATTTCGCGTCTTGGGGCGCTTGAGTTGGGGAAGTGGGTACACTTGTTTGCGGAGAGGAATGATATCGAGATCAATGATGTTCTTGGTTCTGCTCTTGTTGACATGTATTCTAAATGTGGGAGCATTGAGAAGGCGCTTCAAGTTTTTGAGAGGCTGCCTAAGGAGAACGCAATCACTTGGAATGCTATAATTAATGGACTCGCTATGCACGGTCGAGCAAAGGATGCCCTTCACTATTTCTCGAGGATGGAACAAGCCAATGTGACGCCAACTGATGTAACATATATCGGTCTCTTGAGTGCTTGCAGCCATGCAGGCTTGGTGGAAAAAGGGCGGTCATTTTTCAACCATATGATTAGTGTGGTTAGCTTGGAACCTAGAATTGACCACTACGGCTGTATGGTTGATCTTTTAGGTCGTGCCGGACATTTGGAAGAAGCCGAAGAGCTTATTCTAAATATGCCAATTAGGCAGGATGATGTCATTTGGAAGGCATTGCTTGGTGCTTGCAAGATGCATGGGAACATAGACATGGGCAAACGCATAGCCGAGATTTTAATGGACTTGGCTCCTCATGACAGTGGATCCTATGTTGCTCTCTCAAATATGTATGCCTCCTCAGGAAAATGGGAAGCGGTTTCAGAAGTGAGGTTGATGATGAAGGACATGGATATAAGGAAAGATCCTGGATATAGTTGGATTGAGCTTGATGGAGTGATTCATGAGTTTGTTGTGGAAGATGAATCTCACCCTAGAGCCAAAGAAATCCATTCAATGTTGGAGGAAATTTCTCACCAGCTGAGCTTGGCAGGCTATAGGCCTGACACAACACAAGTTTTGCTCAAAATAGATGAAGAAGAGAAACAGACTATTTTACATTATCACAGTGAGAAGATTGCCATTGCCTTTGGCTTAATAAGTACGGGCCCTGAGACGCCACTTAGGATTGTGAAGAACCTACGAATATGTGAAGATTGTCATGCTTTTATAAAGTTTGTCTCGAAAATTTATAAGCGTAAGATTATTGTGAGGGACCGAAAGCGGTTCCACCATTTTGAGCATGGAACATGCTCTTGTATGGATTACTGGTAATGTCTCCATAATAGAATTGAATTGACCACTTCTTAGATGTATTAACTGGAAATGTGTTGAATCTCCCGTTTAGTTCGCTGATTCGAGTTTTTAATTCGAGTTGAGATGTAATTTTATGTGAGAGTTTTTTACTATAGCAAAAAAGTTAGATGTGACTGTTTCTGAGAGCTTTTTACTGTAGCAAAACTTAAATTTTAAACTCGAATCGGTGAAATGAACGGGGCCTAAATATTTTTAAAGAACAAACATTGTCATCCTAATTGCATTTGTGTTCCATGCCTAAGCTCCTTTTGCCGGTTTGTATAGTTCTGTTGTGAGTTAAGTTAATAATTTTTTGTTTCTCTGATTAGTCCTTGGTCAGTTGGTGATTCAATTTGTTTTTTCTTCTTCCTCTGTTTTATTTTATTTTTTACGTCATGCTAAGATTTTCTTCTTCCTTTCCCACTTCATTGGGAGCAGTAAAAGCTCCTAATCCACACACACACGCACAGAAAAAAAAAAAATTTTAAAAAATCTTTCTTTATTTATTTATTTATTTATTTGCTAATCAATAGCAACTGGTTCAAAACCCTTTTCAGTGCTTCAATTACTTTGTCAACAGGAACAAAAAAGGCCCAAAACCCAAGTGGAATGCTATGCTTTAACATTAGTTTATCAATTTCCAATTCCAAAGTCCAAACTAGAACATGATCAACCCAACCATGCCTAATAAAGGGTAAGAGTGGGCGGTTCTAGTTTATCACTGCTGTTGTAAGAGACGACAATTTAAGTCCGGGGACTAGTCTCATAGTAAAAGTTCGTGTCCTATAAGTTCAGTTGCAGTTTCTTCTTCCGCTGAAAAGAAATAGAAATGTTATGATTACTCTCTCTGTTATTTTTTTTGCATTACTGGTGACACGTAAATTTTATTATTTTATTATTTATTTAAATAATAATATATCATATTAGTAAAATTTACATGTTAAATATTAAATATAAAAAAAATTGATGCTAACCTGTCTATCCCTAAAAGCCTATTAGCTGTAAGTTTTACTTTGCAGCACAAATGTGAATGACAAGTGGGAAAATTGTAGCACGACATTATTTTGGAAATGCAATAAGAGAGTGACATTGAATAGTAAATACGACAGTGTAAAGTCAATGTTTCAAATCGGAGTAATGATTCCTAGGGAGTTCCCAAACACCATTTATTGGACAGCAAAACTGAGAAAACCAATCAGTATGTCTCCACCATGCTGAACAAGATTCAGCACAACATCAAAATTCCGATTGATACTTGAGGTTTCATATTATGGTTTCCAATGTTGCACCGCAACTTTAAATTGAAACCTTTTTTTCTTTTCTTTTTTTTTTCATTTTGATGCTGCCCATCATCTAGTTTTCTTAGTGAAAAAGTGGCCAAAGCATGGAAAGTAGGGGGTTTTTAAGGTAAAATAAGCTATTTTACTTCACGAATGGAGATTGTACTTGTACTGTTAGATTAATTTTTCAACGGTTAAATCTACAGTATGATTAATTTTGTGTGACGTGTTATAAATTTTTAATACATATTTACACAATCTGACCGTTAAAAAAACATATTTCACAACTAAAAATAATTGTCCTCGCCGTTAGAACAAAATAACTTCTTCACTGTAAAATTTCTGAAATAAAAATAAAAAAATAAAAACACAATGAAAGAAACTAATGAGATCAACAAATAACTCGACAATGTTTTACTTAAAAAAAAACATAAGAGATTCTTTGGTACACTGACACATGAGTAAGTTAAATTTTTTTAACCGTTAGATCTGCATATATTTTTTTTATTTTTACGTATTTTTATACAAATTTAACGAATTAAAAACCTGATCTATTAATATTTTAGAGTGCTGGAGAGAATAAGAAAAAGAAAATAAAAGATGAATGAAAGAAAACAAGGTGGCAACACATCCAAGGTCAAAGATTACAATAATTAAGTGGATAGACGATGAAAGGTCGATTCGAGCAGGGGGCGAAAGGAATGATTTCCTATATTGGCATGAGTTTGAACAGATAAATGCTAGAGCTTAGATATTTTTATGCTCGGAATGTTAAGATTGGATGTTTTTTTTTTATGGAATCCCAGTTCTCCACCACTTATCTATAATACTTATCCCTTTACTTTTTTGCTGATGTTACTCTGAGAGGTCATATTAAATAATTTTTTGCTACATACATAACTAATAATTCAACTGCAATTTTATCCCTAATAATATGTAATCAAACTCTGCTAATATTTTTTTTTGTACATTCGTGTATAAAGGCGTTTGGGATGCGTGAAGCTTGAGATTTATTACTCTTTTTTTCTATAAGTTGTTAAAATGGAATCCATGCAATTTGAAATCTTATTACCTAGTGGGGTAATAATTACTAAAATCTTGGTGAAAACGATTGGTACTAGGGTGAGACCCACAGGATAGATACGTGGAATTCACTTCACTTGAACACTATCTTTCTTCATTTACTTTTATTTGCCTATTTTTTGATAAAATATTCCTTCTTGCAATTTTTTTTTATTTGGTCAATATAATGTCAAAAGAAGAAAAAAAAAACTGTCATTAGTATTAAGAATCACAATTAATAGAAGGTAGCATGCACTTGTGGGTCTTATATTTATCATGTGCACACTGAGAGAGTATTTTCTTAACCCTTGTAGATTAGTCCTACATCTCATACGAGTAACGCGTCGCTCTAACATTAATGAATATATTAAAGGTAAGAGTAATGGGAGTGTAGAATTTAAATCGAGTATCAGACTGATAAAAAAACAAATTTTTTACATTTAACAATTTAAAAGGTAACCAGACACTCAAATTTATGACCACAAACATACTATAATATTCTATTATTGTTAGACCATCATACGCAGTAATTTTCACTTTTTATGGCTCCTGTTTAGTTAGACAACTCAGCTCAATCCAACCTAAACTACAATCGAGATACATGTTTAGTAAGGGCATTAATTTGAACTAAATGAGCCTTTTAATTTGAGCTGAAATGGCTCAACTCCGGATTCAACTCCTCCTTTCAATTCATCAATTTGAACCAATTATCTACAGTAAAATCACTCGGTCTTAATTTTGGCAAAATGTCAATTATTTTTAAATTTATAATTCGTCAGTTATGTTTAAATTTACAATTCACAACTCATCCAAATACTAATTCAGATTATATTTTTTATTTAAATTAAAATTTTAAATACACATTTAAACACCAATTCAAATTACTATTTAAAATATATTGTTTAAATTTTTTTATTTGAATAAAAAAATATTTAAATCAACACGATTAAAACCAGAGATCATTTATCTTGATCACATCTCTCACCTGTTCGGTTTTGGCGTTTTGGGCGTAGGCTGGCCCCCTATTTTCTTCGTTCACCAGATACCCTGACCCACAAGCATGAGGACCCACTAACCATCCATATTACCATTGAAAAATCAATCAAGCTCCCCAGCGATGAAAGATTTACACGTGTAAGATAACAGATTTAGGAACATGCGAAATCTAGTGAACCTTCTCGTAAAACTTTGCCTCGAAAAGACAAGACTTGGTGGCTTCCTCCTTTTTCTTAAGAAAAGCAAAACCAAGGGGCCTAATATAAGAAAAGAAAAAATGAGGAAAAAGAAATCAAAATTCCAAAGCAAGGCGAGCGTGCAGAAACAAAATTAAAATACAAAAAAGCAAAAACTCAATAATGAAAAGAAAATGTTTGACATCCTTTGACGTGTACAACGTAACACTCCCCAGCCTTTCTCTACCGTCAGATCATCATTCTGAAATGCATAATCAAATTTCAACCGTCAAAAACTTTTCTACAACTCTGAGATCACTCCTAGTCAACAACAATCTGTCAGCTTTTCCCAAAAAAAGAGAACGTCTTTGAACACCCCACTAGTAGCTAGTGCACTCTCTCTCTCTCATACCTTTCCTCTCTCCCTCCCTCTCTCTCTCTCTCTTCTTCACTCTGCTTCTTTCATGGAGGTTCTGAAGCTTTTCTTTCTCCATGTTTTCCTTCTCGTATTCTGCTTCATTACAAGCTCAACTAGCCAAGTTCTCAAAGATTCCTCTTCATCTTCATCATCTTCATCTTCATATTCTGCAGATGCCGTTCTTCTACTCATAAAGATCAAGACTTCACTCCAAGGTAACTCCGAAAACTTGCTCTTATCTTCATGGAATTCCTCAGTCCCACTTTGCCAATGGAGAGGCCTCAAATGGGTCTTCTCCACCGGTCTTCCTCTCCCATGCGACGACTTTTCGTCACCCCAATGGACCAACCTTTCTCTCTTCAGAGACCCATCTCTCCACCTTCTCTCTCTCCAGCTCCCTTCAGCCAATCTCTCCGGTTCTCTCCCCAGAGAGCTCGGCGAGTTCTCCTTGCTCCAAAGCCTCTACCTTAACATCAACTCCTTAAGTGGGACTATCCCTCTTGAGCTCGGTTACGCCTCTTCACTCTCAGAAATCGATTTGGGCAACAATTTGTTTGCCGGAGTATTGCCACCTTCAATCTGGAACTTGTGTGATAAACTCACTTCCCTTAGGCTTCACGGAAACTCACTATCTGGGTCTCTTCCCGAACCGGCATTGCCGAACTCAACTTGCGAGAAACTTCAGTTTCTTGATATGGGTGGCAACAAGTTTACTGGAAATTTCCCGGAATTCATTACCCAGTTTCTTGGCCTCAACCAGCTTGATCTTGGGAACAACATGTTCTCAGGCCAAATCCCACAAAGCTTAGCTGAGTTGAAAAGCCTTGAAAAACTCAACCTTTCGCACAACAACTTTAGTGGGGTGTTGCCGGTTTTTGGTGGTGATCAGTCAAAGTTTGGTAGCGAGGTGTTTGAGGGAAACAGCCCTGCGCTTTGTGGGGTGCCTTTGAAAAGTTGCAGCGCAAATACTAGACTTAGCTCTGGTGCTATTGCTGGTCTTGTGATTGGTCTAATGACCGGGACTGTGGTTTTGGCTTCTGTGCTAATTGGGTATGTGCAGAACAAGAAGAGGAAGAGTAGGGCTGAGAGTGAAGATGAGTTTGAGGAAGAAGGAGAAGATGAGGAGAATTTTAAAGGACAAGGAGATAGTAGCGTTGGTGGTGGTGAGGGTGGGGGTGAGGGAAAGCTTATTTTGTTCCAAGGAGGTGAGCATTTGACTTTAGAGGATGTGTTGAATGCTACGGGTCAAGTTCTTGAGAAGACAAACTATGGCACTGTTTACAAGGCCAAGCTTGCGGATGGAGGGACCATTGCTTTGAGGTTGCTGAGGGAAGGTAGTTGCAAGGATAGGAGTTCTTGTGTTCCGGTGATAAGGCAGTTGGGAAGGATTCGCCATGAGAATTTGATTCCGATGAGGGCTTTTTATCAGAGAAAGAGAGGAGAGAAGCTTCTCATATATGATCATCTTCCTCATAGAAGCCTTCATGATCTTTTACATGGTAAACAGTGTTTTTTTTTTTTTCCTAGCTTAACTCTAGTATTGCTGAATCATATGCATTTTTTTTTTTTTTGGTTATTTCAATCATATGCATTTGTGCTTTAAGTAAAATCTAGAAACTATGAATTCTGGATCATATAATATCATTTGATGGTTAAAATAACACGTAGAGGAATCTTCATATAAGCACCTGAGATGGGTTAGTTTCATAAGTTGAGGACACAAGAAAAGACAGAGAAATAAAAGACAAATTGCTTGGTTGGTTGTTAGTTGTTACTTGCTAGCATGCTAAAAAATGACAACAATTCAGAAGACTTAAACCGATCTTGGATTCAAAGTTTCTAATCTTTTCTTTCAAAGTTCAAATTCATACAAGCTAAGTAGTCTTATAGGACTTTAAACAAATTCAAAAGTCTCAAGAACTATCTGGTTTATGGCCAGAGACTATAAGTAGCAAATTCTCTACTTCACTTGCTCTTTTTAGTGTCTTTCCTGTCTTTTTACTTGTAGTTTATGGCCTCTCAAAACAGCTAAATTTCAACCTTTTCTTTTATTGCTGTTTGGATGAGCAGAAAGTAGAGCAGGAAAACCGGTGCTGAACTGGGCTCGCAGACATAAAATTGCATTAGGAATAGCCAGAGGTCTAGCCTATCTCCACACAGGTCTTGAGCCACCCATCACTCACGGTAATGTCAGATCCAAGAACGTTCTGGTCGACGAGTTCTTTTTGGCAAGGCTCACTGAGTTTGGGCTCGACAAGATCATGGTCCCTGCGGTGGCGGACGAAATAGTAGCACTGGCCAAGACCGATGGCTACAAGGCGCCAGAGCTCCAGAGGATGAAGAAGTGCAGCTCCAGGACGGATGTTTACGCGTTCGGGATCTTGTTGTTGGAGATTTTAATTGGAAAGAAGCCCGGGAAAGGCGGAAGGAGTGGGGAGTTCGTGGACTTGCCTTCGATGGTGAAGGTGGCGGTGCTTGAGGAGACGACAATGGAGGTTTTCGACGTGGAGGTTCTGAAGGGAATACGCAGCCCCATGGAGGAGGGTTTGATTCAGGCGTTGAAGCTTGCAATGGGGTGTTGTGCTCCAGTGCGTTCGGTTAGGCCAACCATGGATGAGGTTGTGAAGCAGTTGGAGGAAAATAGGCCAAGAAATAGGTCTGCTTTGTATAGCCCTACAGAAACCAGGAGTGAAATTGGTACACCATTTTGAGAGCTTTCTAATTATTCTTCTTTTTTTTTTTTTTCCAAATATTGTCAAAATATGAATTCCATTTATCTTGTTTGTCTTTTATTTTTCTTCTTTGAGGACAGGGTTGTAGCACTTATTGATAGTGTTTAATTTGCTTCATTTGGAAGTTATATAAGTATTTCTATATTCTAGGAATGAAGAATCAATTTTGTGTTCTTATTTTTCTCTTCTTGCTCTTTAAACAGCGCATAACATATTAATGATATCGAATCAGTTAAACATTGTCAATGTTGTCCAACTCCAATCTAGTTGGATGGCGAGCTGCCTTGATCCAATCAAGTGTAATTAAATAAAAAAATTATATATTGGACTGTTAGTTTTTTTTTTTTTTTTTTTTTTTTTTCTCAACTTACGGATTAGGTTCGATTAGTTTCAGCTTTAGCATGAATGTTTCTTTTATTGTCATTTTTTTGTCGCTTTCAATGCGATCGTCGTTTCCGATTTTATGTCGTTTTCTTCCATTTGGTGTTCTCTCCAGTTTTTGTCGTTTACTGCTTTGAGTTTTTCAATTTTCACTTCACCCTCTTGTTATGTGGCGTTTTCTTGCTTTATTGTTCGCTTTCGAGATTGTTTTTATCTAGTTGTTTTTTTCAGCCGTTGTAATCATGTGTGGTTAATGGTTTTGTGTTTCTATCTTCCCGTCACTTTTTGTTTTGAAAAATCCTACTCAAGTCGACCGAGTTGTGTCTGGTTGGCAAAGGCAGGACCCACCCAAACAGGTGGGTCCTACCTTTGTAAAAAATTCCTTGTCCAGCCCTGTCAAGTTGACAACAGATGCTGTTTTATTGTTATTGTTTGTGTAGTTTTCTCATTACTGTCGTAGCTTTTATGTCGTTTTTTACTTTATGCCGGTTTGTAGTTCTTTTTTTTGTTTTTTTTTTGTTTTTGCTAATTATATCGTCGTTTGTAGTTTTGATAATTATATCGTCGTTTGTAGTTGTTCTTTTTCCATGTTGTCGTCAATTCCGTCTTATTGTCGTTTTTATTTTCCGTAGTATTATTTTCATGCTGTCGTTTTTACATTCATTGTCGTTTCATTTTTTGCCTTTGTCACAGTGTCGCAGTTTCCTCAACACGGAGGTTATATTGCCTGTTTGGAACCCATTTCAGTTTCGTTTTTCACATTTTTCGAGGACTAAAAAATGAAAATGCTCTGAAAATTGAGTTTGGCACCGCATTGTTCGAAAAAAAAATAAAAACGTTTTTCTTCTTTCTCAAAAATATTCAAACATTCTGAAAACGATTACAAATCGTTTTCCTTTTCCATTTTCCTTTTCTCCGTTAAACGCGGCCAAATTCTGCGAAACGCCGTGCTTCTCTATGACATTGGCGGCCCACTGGAAGAAGTGGTGGGCGAGCAGCCCGGCGTTCTAGAAGCAGGTGAGGACGTGCTCGGCGATCTCCGGCATGAGCCTGACGCCGGTGTGGTCGAGGGCGGCGACTGGGGTGGACGACATGATTTTGCACATTGTTTGGATTGGGTCTGGGGTTTCGCGCTTTGGTTTTGTGGAGCTGCGTCGTTTTAGCAGAGATGGGTTTCAAATGTCAATTGTGTTCGCAACTACGTGATGGGCTCGCTATGAATGACAGGCGACGCTAAGGCAGACTCGCAGAGGAGAGTTGCGGCGGTGGAAAGGGACGCAGGGGCTCGTGGCAGCATGCAAAAAGGGTGGGCTTGACGGATCTAGGTTTTCGCAGTGTAGGAGTAGGCTCAACAACGCTTGCGCGGCGACAACGATGATGCTGGGGTTATGCTTGGCTGGGTTAGTGAGAAGTTCATCAATTTTGGGTTGTTTATCTTCTGAGCTAATCTGCACTTGAGAAGTCCAATGAGTTTTTTTTTTTTTTTTTTTTTTTTTTTTTTTTTTTTTGCGTTCGAGTTGTTTTGGGTTCGTGAGAAATTTATCAATTTGGGCTGAAGCCTTGAACAATTGAAGTGTAGGAAAGGAAAGCCTTGAATAGTATTTAAAATATTATTACATGTTTTTTAAAAAACTAAAGGAGTTTTAATTTTTTCTTATATTGAAAATAATTTTAGAATAAAATTATCAAATATATTTTCAGAAATAATTCATATCTAGATTGAAAATATTTTTATTTTTATTTTTTATATAAAATTAAATCATTTTGAAATGAGATTCAAATCAGACTATAATATTTATGGCCCGTTCACTTCGCTGATTCGAGTTTAGAATTCGAGTTTTGTTACAATAAAAAGTTTTCAGAAACAGTCACATTTAACTTTTTTGCTACAGTAAAAAGCTCTCATATAAAATCACATCTCAACTCGAATTACAAACTCGAATCAACGAAGTGAACGGGTAGTCTTTTTTTTCCAGCGTGAAAATTCTAATTTATTTTGCTGTCGTTTACTCTTTCTGTCCTTGTTTTACATTTCCCGGCCCTTTTCTGTTTCCTTTATTCTGTTGTCGTACTTATTTGATTTGGTGTTTAGAATTTTGATGTCGCTGTTTAATATCCTTGCTCTTTTACAGTTTTCAATTGGAAAATGTAAAGCGGTTTTTTGCCTTTTTAGTCTACAATCCCTTCCGTTTTTCCACCTCAATGGATTTCCTTTTTTTTTTCCCCCTTTTAAATCATGAATTTGAAATTATAAGAGCGAACTATGCAAAAGCAAGCGAAGTTAAACTTGGTAGAAATAGAAGATAGCAATCCTTATTGGGCCACTCTCATGAATCGCCAACATTCAAGTACATGAAGCAATCGTGAAACCAAAGTGAGTTTTTTGTGTTTTTTTTTTTTTTTTTTTTGAGAGAAAGAGAGAAATAGACCAAGATTTTAGATGAATTAAAATTAATAAGCCAATAGTTTATATAAGTTAATAAATAAGTCAAATTACTGTTTTCGTCAATAATTTATCTGGTTATGAATCATAACTTGACAAGTTATTGTCCATAATTATCCATAACTTGTCTGGTTATAAACCATAACTTGATAAGTTTATCTATAACTTATCTGACTATGAACCATAACTTGATAAATTATGACCTATTAATTTCTATAACTAAAAATTAACCTATATATTTTTTTAAACTTTTCGTATTGACCTATTTTTTACTATTTTCCTTTTTTTTCCCCCTCAAATGGACCAGCAATAGATACGGGGTTTGGGCCCTTTGGGACGTTTCGTAGCTCATGAATTGGACTCAAATTTTATGCTTGACAAGTTGGGATGTTCGGGTTGATATGAGGACCACGACCAAGCGAATCAAGATCTAGACTCATTCATTTTAAATTTTTAAGTAAAAATTCTCATAAAATATTACATCTAATTTTTTTTATTACAGTTAAAAATTTTCAAAAAATATCATATATCAATTCGAATTAAAAACTCGAATTCACAAAGTGAAGGAGGCCCTAATAATCTCGCACACTCTAATGATTGTTTTTCAGTTTTTTCTTTTTTGGTAAGCTAGCTGTGTAAAATCCCCTGATGCGGAAACCTTTTGTCAAGACATCCTCTTTAGAAAACGACATAATTTCTAAACCTTATATTTGAAATAATTTCTTTGCATGTGTCCTTAGGAGGATACATGTCAAGCTCTTAATTACCATAGGTGCTGGTACCATAGCCTAGAGACAGTAGTGACTCGTTTTTTCATTAGAGGTTCGATTATTTGCGTTTGCATCCCTCCGACATGGTGAAGTTTTATATTTGATGTGCATATACTTTATTGTTAACGAGACTAAGGCCTCGTTCAGTTCGCTGATTCGAGTTGAGATGTGATTTTATGTAAGAATTTTTAACTGTAACAAAAAAGTTAGATATAATTTTTTATGAGAGCTTTTAATTATAATAAAACTGTAATTAAAAATTTGAATCGGTAAAATAAACAGAACATATATTTATTCCTTTCCATTCCAATTCAGTTAAATAATTTCGTGGACACCACTTATCATTTTTATACAAAAGAGTGAGATATATATAAAGTTTTTAATTTAATAACTTATTTGATCTTGGCGGGAATATAGGTGTTGTGGCACCACGTGGCTAAAGAAAAATGTTTTGGCGAAGCTCATAGATGCATAGAGAGAGTTACAACACTCTTGGTTTAGCAAAAACATGGCAAAGCCTATTATTGCATGGAATGCATCAAATTATAATTGGGTCCCTCACCCCACATGCAAAACAGTATGGCATTGTCATCTTTAGAAAGGGCAATTATTGAAAGCCCAACGCAACCATATTATTTGCCATAAAGTGATCTGTGTCAGAACGAGTTAAAGAAAGCAGTTTGGTAAACAAAAACGGGGAAAAGAGTGAAAAACAAAACTAGAGAATAAATCGTACCCTTACAAAAACAAGCGCTAAAATCTTTCTTTTGCCATTTTTGTTTTTCTTACGTGTTTGTTTGTGTTTTTGCGTAGGCAACAAGGAGGCTTAAAAACTTCCACGAAGTTTCTCTTTACAAGTTTGAGCAAAGGGAATTGAAGCGTACAAGAAGAGAAAGGAATTGATGCTTTGGCACTTGAAGCACGCCACAAGGCGGCACTGTACCTAAGTTGATTATAATAATAGATAAAAATGTGACAACATTTTGGTGTGAAGGAAAAAAAAAAAAAAAAAAAAGGAAAAATTTACACTTGTGACAAATAAGTAAATTTGACAGCTGGGGAATTACAAAATAGGGCTTGTGAACTGAATGGCTGCAAACTCACTCGTGATACTTGCTATAACAATAATCAAGGAAGAAAAAATTGAATAATATTTTTCTTCCTTCCTTTTTTTTTTTTTTTGCTGATATGGTTTCTTCTTTTTTGTAGAATCGAAATTAGCATTGGTAGCCCCTGCGGCAGTTAAGGACGCCGGCACCGGAAGTAATGGAGGCGACCATGGAAGAGGACTTGGCCCCTAAACTTGAGGCTCTGGCATAGTTGGCTGCGGCACCACGTCCTGATCGAGTGAAATAGGCTCCATTCAGCATAAGATCTCCCTCTGATCTCCAATTCCAATGCTTCCACTGCCCATCTGCTGTATCAACCCTCTTTGTCACCTGCTCAAATTAATTGAATTCTTCATTAGCCATCAATTTTTTTTTTTTGGGTCATCTAAATATTGATTATGTTATGACATATTGGTCCAATTTGATTTTTGTTTTTTTATTTTTTTTTTTGGGTTGAGTTTGTACCTCCTTGGCAAAAGGGTTGGCAGGGGCAAGATATCTGTTGCCCTGGCTGTTAATGGTGGGGTTGGCACTTCCACCAATAGCGTACATTTCCCAGTGTGTATAGTCATTGTTTACCACGTGGAAATACCCATGCCTACACCTGCAAGATTAATTTATCGGTCCCAATACTTGGTCAGATTTTAGTGCTATACGTGCATGCATTTGGCTTGTAAAAATAAATAAATAAAACTTTGAAGGGAAAATTACAAAGGAGAGTTAGTGGAAATGTTGATATGTTACCTTGGCATTCTCTGGATAAGACCCTCACCAAAATGGTTGTAGGCGATGGTCACTTGCATTTGTTTGTCTCTGGTGTAGGAGTCACTATGACCCAATAGCATCACCTGTTTTTGCAATTAATAGTTTAGTTTATCTAAGTTATGATTGTTTAAACCACTAATTGGAGATGTTGGTGTGTATAAATATGAAATATATAGAAAGAGATTTGGACCTCATTATGGTGGGTGAAGTAGTTGTTGGAGATGGTAATGGCAGTCGAGCCCATTATGGCATCAACAAGGCCATCAGCGCAATTAGAGAGAGAGTTGTGGTCAATCCAAATGTGGCTCGATCCAAATATGGAGACGGCATCCCCATCAGCCATTGTCCTCCAACCATAGTGACTTGGCGAGCTCCGAACCATGGCATTTCCGGTGGGCTTGCAATCATGGATGTGGAGACCGTGAATGATCACATTTGTCACGAATTGGATTGTTATACAAGCCCCGTAGGCAATGTGGACATTGACACCCCGGCCATCAATTGTCTTGAAGCTGTTCATGATAAGTTCTTCTTTCAATGTGATCACCATGTCACGCTTGAACACAATCCACAAAGGCCTATCTTGGATGACCGCGTGGCGTAGGGTCCCGGGCCTTGGGTTGACCGGATCATCATCACCGGGGTTGCTGACGACGTAGTACCTGCCGTCACGGCCACCAACGGCGTTGCGGCCGAATCCGATGCCGCAGTTGGCTAGGTGTTTTCGGCGTAGATGCCAACGACGGTCACAGCGCCAGCAATCATCAATCGGGTTACCAGTTCCACATGTGAAATATCCCAAGTTCCTTCTCTCCGTGTGATTGCGAATGTTCCTAAGAAATTTGATAACCGAAATAACTCATAATTAGATAAATATTCAACATCATAAGACTAATGATGATATCTTCGCCTGTTTTTTTTTTTGGTTCAACTGCTTTGTAAAATGATGTCACACTTACTAAGGATGAAATCATGAAAATAAAGGAAAAGAAAGTATGCATGTGATTGCGGTACAAGATTGTTGAAATTAACATATCCTTCCACATGTATGCGTAGAGTACTAGAGTTATAGCCCACTTGAACCAAAATGAAGAAATGGGTACGGATGGAAAGTTACGGTCAAATACGGAAAATTGACTAATTACCTTTTTTGTCAAACCTTTGCCTAAAGTAATAAATACGAAAGTGTGGGGGCTGAAATTCAGTCTCGTCTATAACAATGGCGTGTCGGTGGGGGTAACTCCTCTTATTATTTTGTATTTATTATTTTTTTTTAAAAAGGAAAAAGGGGGTCATTAATATGGCCATGCTGCTCTTCATGAAGAACATAGTTCTGGCAGTTAGCCAGCTGCCGGGTCAAGTAAACCGGAAAAAATGAAAAATAAAATATAAAATATAAAAACTTGAGATATGAAATCAGATCTGTGATTTTGTGGTTTTGTAGCTTATTCCGATTGACAGGCTGGTGATAGTGAGCTATCCCACTTCATTGGTGAAAAGGCATTGCATTGATTGATATTTTTGTTTTCACGCAAATGTAATGGGTGAATTTTTGACAGGTTGAGAAATTATAACGGTTAATTAGCACAGAACAAACTTTCTCACATTGTTGACAAGTGACCAAAATTATATATAAATTGAATGATGGAGTTTAATGCATCGCGCTATTGCTTGCACAAGAAATTGGATTCCAAGATATCACTTATTCAAATTTGGTTCTCCTAATTTGTTTCAAATATCAATTTATAGGTGTTTTACCAACCAAAGGAAAAAAAAAAAAAAAAAAAAAGGTTCGGATCTGATTTGAAAGACACAGAAGAAGAAATGGATCCTCATGTAGGAACCGGATTTCCACTTTTTTTTTTTTTTTGGGGTGGGGGGGACAAGTTAGTTTAAGAGAAAGCTACTGACACCTTATCTATTACACTTAAGACAATGTTATATATACACCTAATTTGTTTCAAATATCATTTAATAGTTTTTTTACCAAAAAAAAAAAAAAAAAAAAAAAAAAAAGGTTCGGATCTGATTTGAAAGACACAGAAGAAGAAATGGATCCTCATGTAGGAACCGGATTTCCACTTTTTTTTTTTTTTGGGGTGGGGGGGACAAGTTAGTTTAAGAGAAAGCTACTGACACCTTATCTATTACACTTAAGACAATGTTATATATACACATGGAATCTTTTATGATATTTGTAATACTTAAAATACATATAGACGTGCCAAGGAGGGACTTTGCCCGTTTGGCCCAAGCAATCGTTTAAGAGAAGACTTAGGAGCAATTAAAAAGAGTCACAGAGACACATGGAAGGAAACAGCCGAGACTGGCGTTGGTATAAAAAGAGAGAACATGAGAATGGAATGAGATTCGGGTGATGTACGAAAATGACAAGAAAAAATAATTTATAAAGCGTGACGAGCGGATCTGGCGACATGGGCATGTGGGTAAGCAGCTGGGCCACTAGGATTACAAGAGAGAAAGCGGTTTGGTGCAGGCAAACAACATGGGTGGTTGATTCCTCACACAGCAGCCCAAACGGAAGTTCAACTGGTTATTAATTAATTATGCAAAACATTATTATTAATTATTAATTTTATCACTCTCAGTAGTATACTAGAATAGATCAGCCACTAAACACGCTGAAAAGTGAGGGCCCTTATTGATCTTAGAGAATGAATACTATCAAAGAGGCATATGCTTATAAATGATTTTAAAAATACAACAAAAACAAAAGGAAAAAGATATGACATGCACAACTACCGCTCCAAAGACATTTTTTTTCCCTTTATCCTCTAATATTACTTCTTACGCTCCTAAGCAAAAAGGGGAATAATGGTACTTTTGATAACACCCTATTGTAGGTATTTTTCCATGTGATGCAGGGCTCTTTTCAAAATAATAAAAAAAAAAATCAATGCTGAACATGAGTAACTGATGATAGACTTGGGTTGTCATAAGTGCATAATCATGAAAAACAAAAGGTAATTATATCATGAGGTTGCTTGGATAATAAACTAGGACATTGGGAAAAGTTGGGAAAAGGACAACGATTTGAGGGAAAAAAAAAAAAATGTTCACTTCTAGCAACTATCTGGCTAGCACCGGCAAATGCAATAATGAAATCACAAAATTATGAGACATGGGATTAACTCGTTTGATTGTGTAATAACTCCACGTTATAACTAGCAAAAAAATATATATATTAAAACAGACTTAAAGAATTTTGAAAAATAACTGAGACACTTACATATCAACCATAGCAGCTATTTCATCCGGATTACCTACAGCGTGTTCATTCTGAATATCATCCGACCTATAAGAGAGTAAAAAATGTATAATCACAAAAAGTCAACTACGTGCCTTATCAAATTATCAATTCAGAAAACTACAAAAGAAAAAAGAAAAACCCATAATCAAATTCCAACTTAAAAAAAAAAAAGAAAAAAAAATCGGAATCAACTTTTCCAATAACAAGAAAGATAGTAACGTGAACGCATTTAAAGCTCGTTTTAACGTGAACATTAAGATAATGTTTGGTTAGAAAATTTAAATTATATTATTCAAATTATTTTTAATTTATATAAATTTTTTATAAAAAAAAATACTATAATAAATCATAAATTATAATTTAAATTAAAAATCGAATCCTTTTACCGAACATTATCTAAATAACTAGTGCAAAAGAAACATAACAGAGTCTAGTATCTACAGAAAAGACAGTCACCGTCCTGTCAGCGTGGAGACATGTAGTAATTTATTCTGAAAAGGAAGGTGCTTCAGACACGTACAGAAAAATACCAAACTAACCTCGTTGTCTTAGTATTATTATTATTATTATTTTTTTTTTTTTGACGAGTAGCCTCATGACTAGTTCATTTTGTGAAACGAGATATGATATTTTTTAATAATTTTTTATTATAATAAAAAATGTTAAGATGTGATATTTTTTTAAGAGTTTTTAATTATAAAAATTTAAAATTTAAATTGATAAAATAAGTGAGGTCTAATAAATTTGATTAAACAGTAATTAAGCAAAAACCTGGACTAGTAAGATATTAAAAATCTCACCAAATGTTGATTTAACAAAGATTAGGGATGTGTGAGAAGATATTAGAAATTAAGCAGAGAAAAAGTAAAAAAGAAAGCACTTATTTTCAACTTTTTTCATTTGATGTGGGCTAGAAGAGGCCAACGAGAAAGCCATAAACGGCATTAACGAAATCAACGATTCGGATTATTCAGATCCGATCTGAACGGTTTAGATTTTCCATGCAACTGTTGGAAAATTCTTCGCTTTATACATCTGACGGGCAGGGTTTTGACTTTAGCCACATGGACTGTACGGATGAAACGTAAAACCGAAAATTAAGATCTGTAATTGGACTGTAATCCGTACCTGTTCGCCATTGATGAATTCTTAGAACTCTGCAACTCCTTTGGTTCTACTGACCTGTATAAACAAAAACCAAATCTGTGACTGAAAATACTAAATACACACTCTACGTCAAAATTCACTGTAATTCTCCATATTTGACATTCTGCATGGTGATAAAAATGTAGCTAAGTTTGAAGTGATGAAGTTTGAGAAAGTAACAGACGAAGAAGATCGCCATTGCTAAAGCTTAAATTGAGCTCGTTAATGTACCTTGACTGTACAACATCGTCTTTCTCTATTGAGGCCTTTACGCTCACAAGCAACACTAGAAGAAGCAGCAGTGAACACGCGGAGAACCATCTCGGAGAAACCACCATTGTTGCTCCTAATTGAGCTCGCTCTCTCTCTCTCTTCTATCTCTTTACAGCAAAATGTCTCTGTTTCTGTTTCTCTCTAGCTTTTAGTGTTCGCGACTTGAATGAAAGAAAACGGAAACTAAAAATGGAGTCCAAGAAAAGGCTCCGATGGAGCCTTGTTTTTATAGCAAAAACGGAACGTTTTGGGAGTGGCTAAAAATGACTTTCGCCTAACTCGCTTAAAATTAAACCCGGCCTTAACCATGGTTAAGTTAAAACTTTACTCCTATCTAACCCCGTTTAACAATAACAACCTTCGCCACCTCTCTAACCGCCGCTAACAGACTCCCAAGTCCCAACGCATTCTTTTTTATTATTTTTAAATTTTTAATTAAAATAAAAAATAAATAAATATTCTCACAGAAGTTTGCCCCTCCAACGTGTCAAGGCGTGTGTGTGTCGGTCCGTCACGTGCCCGGCCCCCTCTTCCTCTGACACTTCAAAGATATAACTGCACCTCTTTACGTTGGGACCATTTCGTCCACGTCAGCTCAGTAATTTCGTCCAACTGGCTAAGAAGTGTACTCGACTCTACTCGCTATTAGAATCAGCCACGTGGTCACGTGGACGATGTTTGAGGAGTCAAAGTAAAAATATTTTTTTTTCCCGGTAAACTGTACGTAGTTGTCTGGATTAGAGATTTGTCGGCGCTCGACAGGTGTCCTTTAAATGAGTACGGCACTTCAGTAAATGAGCTGTGAGTTCTCCTAGGCCACCGGTTTCTCCGGTAAGCGTCCGTACTCAAATCCCAACACCAATGTTTCAAAATCTTTCCCGCTTGTTACCGGAATTTCTATATCATTTGTAAAACTAAAGCCTTCTTTTTTTTTTCTTTTTTTTTACTGTTCTTTCTTTTTTGAAAATACCAATATTTTTTATTTATAAGTAGTTAAGTTTGTATTATTTTTTTTAATTTGATTTAATTTTTGACTAAATTTAATATAAATTTATCAGCTGATAAATAAGGAACATCGATGTTCCTAACATAGAGGGAACATCATAAAAAATCTTTTCTTTTATTATAGTCCAAAATAGGCGTAAACAAAAACCTGACAACCGACGAATCTAATTAACCCACCCAACCCATTTAAATCCGAACTCGATTAAGAATTCAACCCAACCCGACTATTAATTTGGTAGGTTTGGGCTAAGTGTTTCTTAACTTAAATTAATGCGAACCCACCCAATCTATTTATCTATATAAATATATATTTTTCTACCTCATAATATATAGTTTTTGTCTCATATTTTACATTATTCACTTGACAACCTATTATGTTTTACATTGTATGAGTTTTTATTATTGTTTGTTTGTTGGTTTATAACTTATATAGTTGAACTTGTTTTGTATATATTTTATTTTTATATTGGTTTATAACTTATGTGATAATTTTGGAGCTTTATAAAATTAATATTATGATGAAAGTTAGCTTTTATTTTTTATACATTTCTAATTTTAGGTTGAATGATTATCTTTATTTATTTTTTATTTCCTTATTATATTCAACCCGATGAACAAATCTAACCTACTTAAATTTTAATTAGGTGGGTTGATTTTAAATTTTGGATTGATTAGGTAGGTTAAATATGAAATCAACCCTCAAAACTTATTTGGGTGGGCTGAAAAATATCAAAACCGACCCGATGTTCACCCCTAGTCCAAAATGTTTTATTTAGATCAATTATATGTTTTGTTGAGCTAAGCTGAGTGGCACGTTGACATTACTTAAGTTATGTACCAGATTTTTTTTTTTTGTTAAAAATACAAAATATTATTATTAAAGTATAAAATTATTATTAAATCACTTTTTAACACTAAAATATGATTATAATAAGAAATCTTGAGTTTGAACTGATGTGATTGAACTCTCTAAAATTATCGTCAGGGTAATATTTTTGGTCCATTATCTTAAGGGGGTGTTACCGAGTTAGAGTATAAAATTGTCTATCTAGATGCTCTATCTATCTAATATCTATTTTTTATAACTAATATTCAGATGGGGCCCACTTCCCCTGAGAGCTTTAACCAATGTATTACTCTATTTTGCAAGAGAGGTAGAGGTAAAAGTTTTGGTCTTCATCATTATATTGGCTCCGTTCACTTTACCGATTTGAGTTTAAAATTTGAGTTTTGTTATAGTAAAAAGTTATCAGAAACAGTCACATCTAATTTTTTTACTACAGTAAAAAATTCTCACATAAAATCACATCTCAATTCAAATTATAAACTCAAATTAACAAAATAGACGGGCTTTTTATTTTCCTTTTAAATAATTATGTATTATATTAATAGAATTTACGAGTCAAATTGTAAATGAGAAAAGTAACAAAGAGTAACAAGAGTCATGCTAGTATTTCTTGCGGTATATATGAAGTGTGAAATCTCCGATTAAAGATATTGAAGCTTCTTGGCTCTCTCATTTCTAGTCTCTACTGTATATTTTACGTGTGGAAAAGGCCAATAATGTCATAGTCTTTTGTCGGCCCCATTTTATTACCATAAAAGCCTTCCGTTTTTCTCTCCATTACGAGTATTATATAAACTTGGGGCCAATCTTTAATTCGTAATCAACACATATATTTTTTTTTTTTCAAAGTCATGTTTGCTGTCAAAATTTTCGTTACTACCCTTTTTCCCCTGCATGTCTTCCACTAGGCTTAGCAGTTCGCATTGACCTGACTGGATGTACGCCAAATTACCGACCCAATTAAACCCTTTTATTCTATAATTTGCATTAATTACATTTTTTTTTTGTTGCAAAACATCTTTTGACAAAATACAGATAAGTAATATTGTACGGTCTTAGAAATGCTGAATAATTGAATGTAGGATGTAAAAATGAGATCTGGCATTGGAGTGATGAGATCTGTAACATATGGGCTTGGAGCTGCATAACCGACGCTTTGTTCCATCCCCCACATGTACGTACATTCGTCAAACCCATCGATCCTTCATAATTCATTCTTTTGCCTACTCTGCTCTGGGCCGACGTGTCCACAATTAAATACATATATAATTGTCTACGAGTATATTATGTGAAGAATATTTTAAAAGAATATTAATAGAACGCACAGGTAGTATTATTGAATTTCACATATTAAAATTTTTTTATCGTGCTTATCACCACCGATGGTGTCTCTAAATAATTTTTTATTATATATGTGTATGTTGTGTGTATTTCTATGTGCATATTTATACATTTTAACTTGAACAAAATATATATGTGGGGTAGTCTTAAACGTAAAAACCGACGTTAATCAAGGCGAAATTCAAAATTTTTTTTTTGTGATTTTAAGTTGAATATGTCTACGTAGAAAGACACTTAATTAATTATGCGAAGTACTTCGGATGACTAATTCAATATCATTGTCTCTTCTTGAATGATTTAGCAGCTAAAATGCCTAAAATGGTAGAATTAGTTCTCTTCAACATATTAATCATATCCTCCCACCACCAGCCCCATTTGTTTCCTCATGGTGTAGCATTATATAAGTAGACAAAATATTGTTGGCGTGCAATATTAATTAATCAATTAATCAAAATTAAGGTTCAAATGTCAGCTTTGTACGTAGTACTAATTGTTAGAGATAATGTTTTGAACCTCTCCAAGACTAACACTGATCGTTGGAAATTATATAGAAAGAACGACATATGTGTGTGTGTGTATTGACCCCGATACCGCAGGAAGGCATGATGAAATTGAAAAAAAAATAATAATAAAGAAAAAAAAAACAAATTCTGAGCAAGAATTTTAAGTTTCTTACATGGAAGATAAAACTTTGACAAACATTAAGCCAACATGAAATTAAGTTCCTCATTAGTTACGTTTTTAATTCCAAACATTTTCATATGTAATCCCAACATCGATCATGAAATATGCGTCTTTGTCATAAAAAGAGAAATATATTTCACGTCTACTTATAAAATGTTAATTTTAATATTTATATCTGCGTATATATTAGGTAGAGACAAGAAAGCTCTCAATTTTACGCTAATTCCGACCAAATTCCCTCAACGGAATTTGAAAAGTTCAATTTGAGTTGAAATTCCTTACATTGAATGAGATCATCATATTCATACATATACATGTGAAGTAAACGTTGGTTGGCGTTGGAGGAGAGATTAAGAAGGTTTGCAGGTATGAAACCTAACACATCCCGCACTCACATGCACCACTCACCGCTAATCAAGGTCTCCTAATTCTCTCTTTTTGTTCCTGCTTAATTTTCGGATCTCTTGGCCGTGGGAACGGTTATATATATCACTTTCATATATATATATATATAT